TTTCCTTTTTTTTTTTTTTTTTTTTTGCCAAATCTCACATTAATTCTTATGGTCAACCCTGTTAGAACGATACAGGGAAGAGAATTTCGTGAGATGCCGTTCTACCTTCTCTAAGAATGATGACTCAATACAAATTCACCACAACTGTTCTAATTGTTGCTTTCAGAGTGGCCAAAGTTTATTCCAGGAATATATACAAAAGTAAATATTTAAAATCTACTAACAGCCTGGCCGGGTGTGGCTCAGCAGTTGAGCGTTGACCTAGGATCCAAGCTATCGGGGTTCAGTTCCCGGTCAGGGCACATGCCTGGGTTGTGGGCTCGATCAATGACTCTCTCATCATTGATGTTTCTATCTATCTCTCTCCCTCTCCTTTCCTCTCTCTGAAATCAATAAAGATATATTTTTTAAAATACATAAATAAATAAATAAATAAATAAATAAATAAATAAATAAATAAATAAATAAAATCTACTAACAGATAAAAAAGAAAATGGAAACAACCCTTAGAAGCTATTCAGAAATACCACCTGTTATGGACTGAATGTTGGTGCCCTCAAAATTCTTATATTGAAGCCCTGACCCCCAACATGACTGTACTTGGAAACATGGCCTATGGTAAAGCTTAAGTGAGGTCATAAGGGTCAGACCCTAATCCAATAGAACTGGCGCCCTTATAAGGAGAGGAAGGAACAGCAGAGCTCTTTCTCTCCACTGTGAGGACACAGCAAGAAGTCAATCATCTACAAGCCAGGTAGAGAGCTCTCAGCAGAAACCAAATCAGCTGGCACCTTAATCTTGAACTTCTCAACTTCCAGAACTGTAAGAAATAAATTTCTGTTGTTTAAGTCTACACAGTCTACAGTATTTTGTTACGGCAGCCAGAGCAGACAAAGACACTAGCCATATTTCTGAAAGTCATAGCCAATGCAATAAAATAGGAAAAAGAAATAAGGCATAAACATTTAAAAAGATAAAAAGTTATTATTTTTAGATAATACAATTGTCTACCTAGAAAAATAACATTGAATAGACTAAAATTCTATTGAAATTAATGAGTTCAAGAAGGTGAATAAGATAAATATACAAAATCTATAGTTTTCTATTAGAATATAGGAATAAAAATATCAAGCCCAGGTAGATTAAAGACCTAAATATAGCCCTGCCAGTGTCGCTCAGTGGTTGAGCATTGACCGATGCACCAAGAGATAGCTGGTTCAATTCCCAGTCAGGGCACATGCCCAGATTGAGGGCTTGATTCCTGGTCAGGGGCGTGCAGGCCAAACTATATTTCTCTCTCATCATTGTTTCTATCTCTCCTTCTCCTTTCCTATTTCTCTAAAATCAATTAAAAAAATTTTAAAAAAAGACTTAAACATGAAAAAGTGAAACTACATTTATCTTTGTTTTTTTTTGAAACTACACACTTTTACAAGTCAAAAAAAGTATGAATAGATACAAGAATCAGGGAAGAAAAAGTAAATATTTCATTATTTGCAGATATGTTATCCACATGGAAAATTTAAGGGAATCTACAATTATTACAACTAAGAAAGTGTTCAGCAGGCTGTTGAACATAAGATCAATAAATAGTGATCCTATAAAGTAAAAGCAATAAATTAGATAATGTAATTGGAAAAATCATATCCATAGTAGTGATAAATTCCAAAGTATTAG